AACCCTACTAGTTTATCTAAAGGAAGATTTATTAAACTTAATAACTTTGACTGAAAAAATATGCAAAGTGCCTGACTCGATCCACTTCAAACTACCATCCGCTTAACCTTTCTTGGTCATGCCCTCCTTCGTTGCTTATGAGGGACAGCCCTTCTTACTCAATTATCTTAACTAAATCAGATTCTTCAGAAGAGTCTCTCTTCAATCTTTTTACCCTTCTTTCTAAAGCGTTATGTTGGAAGCTCCAATATCTCAACCTTAGTTACTGCAATTTTACAAGTAAGACTATCGAAGAAATTGCTTGCTCATGTCTCAATTTAAAATCTCTAGATTTGGAAAGATGTGAAAATATTAGCAAAAAAGCCATGGATTAGCTAAATCTAAATATTCATATCGAAAATTTTGATAAAGATTACTGCTATTTCGATTCAGAATCTTCTAGCTCTGAAACTGAATCAGAGTCTGAATGCTACTAATGATTTTGATAAAATCATCATAGAAGTTTTAGAATTTGTTGATTCTGCATCTCAGTCAGTCACGATGAACGCCTAGAAGAATTATTGGACGAATCAATTACTTGCATTGACTGAATTATGTGAATTCGTATATTTTTTTTTTTGATCACGTGAATGGCTTATCCAAAAGAGACTGTAGTATGTAAACCCGATCACCTGAAATGCACCTTTTTGAATACCATGCGTAGTAAGACATCATTGGTTCATGTGAATTATCTGCAGAATATGATATGCGCAGTAATACACTGATTTCACAAATATAAGCACGTAGTTATGCATAATTGCAGTCGTTATTTTTTGTGTAGTTTCTGTCATACACTTTCCCATCAGCACCAAGCCGAAAGAAGTTTTGGTATGTTATATCTCACTCATTACGCAGTTCTGAATTACTAATAAAAAATACATCTTTGATTTACATGTGGATCATAAGATGGGGTGTCATTAAAAGGAAATTCAAAAATGGAAATAGAGCCGATTAGAATCAATGATTTGCAGGGGAATAAAATGAAAATAGATATATTACTATTATGATTTTTTAACAGTTTATCGACCTATAATCAGAAAATTTACGCCATTGCTTCCGATAATCATTTTAATTCCTATAATGGCTATTTTTTCTCGATCAAATATATCTGGAAAACGTCTAGTAAATTCCATGAATATAATGTTTTGAAGTCGAGCTTCCCAGACTTGATAAAGTTTTTCAAAGCATCTTCACTGTAAAACGTCTTCTATAATCCTATCTGGTATATATTTTCCTAGGGTCCCAATAATTGTCCTGATAATCATTACTATCTTCTTCGTTATATCTAACAATAAAAAAATTATTCAACGATATATGTTATGCGCAGTATCCAATAATACGTTATTATTACACTTCTCCGCAGTAACCATACTGTTTTGAATGTCATATGATACCGCTCCCTCTGGGTTTAGTGCCAAGTGATCCTTTTTGCAGTTGTAAGTATCATATGATATTACTCCCTCTGGGATCAGTGTTAAGTGATTCTCTACATATATACCATTGCGAGTGTCATATGATATTACTCCCTCTGGGATCAGTGTTAAGTGATTCTTTACATATATACCATTACGAGTGACATATGATATTGCTCCCTCAAGGCTAAATGTCAAGTAACCCTTTACATATATACTTGTTATGATACTACTCCTATTAGGTCAGGGACCTGTAAAATTTTTTCAATTTGAGCCGCAATCACATGATAAAAATTATATCCAAAAATTTCGATCTTTGAAAAAATAAAAATAAATAAGATCATTTATTAAATATTTTTGGCCAATGCTTTTTATTACATATAAAAATAAAATAGATCATATATTCCTAAATCTATGTAAATATATTTGAGCTAATGTTTACATCAAAAAATAAATTAGAGGTGTGATCATTTTTTAGAATCTATATATATGTAAATATACACAGCGTCAGCCAATAATATTATTCAATCAATCTGCATTGATATCCCCTCCTCATTTAGATCTAAATCATCAAATTGATCTTCAAGCCAATTTGGTTAAGAAGAATTCACTCTAACCCTTTCTTGAATGATCTTTATTTCTTTATCAGTAAATTTTCCAAAAGACAATGGTGAGATTCTCCTAATTCGCTTGATCTCGACTCTTCCTAAACCTTCTGTTTTGAATATGTTGTAAATATTTTTAGCTGAGCGTTTTTTCTTGTTAAAGATATTACGAGATATATCAGAGGAGAATTGTTGCTTAATTTTTGTATTAAGCAAGATTCGTGCAGTTTGAAGAGGGTGAATGGATGTAAATTCAGCCAATTTCTTCTCCAATGCTTTCCTGAGAGGATAGTGTGAATCAAGGATTTCATATTCTATGCGGAATACTTCACATGTTTTTTCTTTAAGAATCTTTTCAGCATCAAGTATTTTATTTTGTAATTCGACGAATGTCATATCTGGAGTTGTGGGTTCTCCGTTTTCACATTTGTCACCAGTAACGGATTAAAGTCTTGTAGTCTTTTGAATAACTCTTTAAAAAATTTTTTAACCCTATCTTCTTCTTCTTGAGGATTTAACCTTGTATCATCATCCTCACCAAGATAAATAGGTCGTTAATAACGAGGACATGTCGTATATTTTTTTAAGGAAATAATAATATATCTAAGATAGAAGCTATGAAGACAGGACAATCTCACGACTGGTTTCAGGTTAGCTTCATCAAGTTCGAATAATAGATCAGGTTCATTACAGAAAGAACATGTTTCAGATCCTCCTTGAGCAGATTTCCTTTGAGAATTGATAGGTGCGGTAAGTTGAATAGTGTAATAAGGAATACTTCCGTCGGGTATATCCTCATTAAATATTTCTTCTTCAATAGGCCAGTGGAGGGATGTTATTTGATCTTTCTGATTCTATTAGTATTTTTTGAGATGTGATTTATGGAAAAAATATTATTATGAGTGAAAGGAGGAAGTTTTTATACTTTCTGAATACTCTACTTGTGATCGCGAAATTGTAATAACTGAAACTTGCTAGAAAAAATACTCTTATTAGTCTTTTTGGATAACAAAGGTCTTTATTATCAACTGAAAATACGTAATGAGGTATTTTTGCCTAGACTTGAGCAGAAACTTTAGCATCAGACCTAAGATCTAAATTCATGTGATCACAAATATATAGTTTACTTATATTACATATAGTTTACTTTATCAAAATATAATAAAAAATTTTATTGATTATTCAAAACATATGTGTACCAAAAGTATCTTAATATTACATATGTATCTTTGTATTCTACTACCAGTTATGAAAAAAAAATAGCTAAGTTTATTAGCAAATAACGCTATTAATATATTATTTACTACTAAAAACTAATCCTCGCGCTTGAAATTAGCACCAGTATAATTAATAGTTACATTGATGACATTAGCGCTTTGGAAAAAAAAAGAGAGGGTAGGTGTAATTAGCTTAGAGATTGCAGATATTTCGAGAGATGGTGTGATCGATCTTAAGGTAATAGGAGAATTTTTGACAGTTTTAGACGTTTTCTTAGATGATGATGCGGCTTTATTCCTGTTGCTTGTCTAACCTTCCATCATAATTAATGGTAACATTGATCACATTCGCATTTTACGAAAAAGAAGGGATAGTTAGGGTTACGGGCTTGGAGATATTAGATCTTTTAACAGTTGGTGTCATCAGTTTTGATGTGATAAGTGATGATGTCTTAGGAGAACTCATACTACTTGACCTAATATTTTCGTCATGTTGTCAACGGAAGAAATTGCAACTCCAAATATCACGTGGGATATGTCAATCAATAATGATCTCACGTTAGATGA